TTTTTTTTTTTCTTTTTTTTTTTTTTTAGAGACAGAATCTCACTTTATTGCCCTTGGTAGAGTGCAGTGGCGTCACAACTCAAAGCAACCTCCAACTCCTGGGCTTAGGTAATTCTCTTGCCTCAGCCTCCTGGGTAGCTGGGACTAGCGGCACTCGCCACAATGCCCAGCTATTTTTTTGTTGCAGTTTTGCCGGGGCCAGGTTTGAACCTACCACCCTCGGTATATGGGGCCGGCGCCCTACTAACTGAGCCACAGGCGCTGCCCTGCAGTTTGCTTTTTAAACTTAAAGGAGCTATAAAATTCCTGACTTGTTTAAAATATGTTTCTCAAGCAGTTAGGTTCAATAGCTAATTGAGAATCTCTGGAGTAGTAGAGTTTTGTTTTTGTGGTAAAGTTTGAGTTTTATACAAAGGCTTGCTGAACCTCCTAAGATAGGAATATACCAGGTACTTAAAGATGATTCTTAGTACTTTACAAAAACGTGAAGAAGAGAAATACTGAATTTTGGATCTTTTGGTATGGAAAGGAAAAAATGACAAATGTTCTTTTGTGGCCTTGAGTATTTCAGACAAAAGCTGGGAAGGCAGGGAATAGCCAAAACCTTGGGCCCTGTAATATAGACCACCCTTCAACTTCTCTGTCTGGGTGTTCAAAAGCCAACAAGTCAAAAGTGTAAGTTCCTTTGAAAGCAGAGAATGTTTTTCTGGGTTATCTTTTTGCTTATTTTATTCTAATTATTAAAATAATTTCTACATCTTTGAAATAAAATGAATTTGGGTGAGCTTGGGAAAGGCGTGATGGCTCATGCCTGCAGTCCTAGCATTCTGGGAGGCCAAGGCAGGTGGATCGCCTGAGCTCTGGGATTTGAGACCAGCCTGAGCAAAAGCGAGACCCCGTCTCTAAAAATAGCCAAGGTGTAATAGTGGGCGCCTGTAGTCCCAGCTACTCAGGAGGCTGAGGCACGAGGATCACTTGAGCCCAGAAGTTTAAAGGTGACAAGGTGAGACTCTGTCTCAGAAAAAAAATTGGGGTGATCTTTAATAATGGACAGAAAAATAGAATTCTGAGGATTTAATATTTTGAGTAATAAAGGTAATAAAGGAAAGTTTTACTAATTGCTATGATTGGAAAGCCCTCCAAAAGATGAGTGGGTTGGCTCGGCGCTTGTGGCTCAAGCGGCTAAGGTGCCAGCCACATACACCTAAGGTGGCGGGTTCGAATCCCCAGCCCAGCCCTCCAAACAACGATGGCTGCAACCAAAAAAT